GTTGATGCATTAGCGTATTGCTGCTACGGCCCTACGCTAAATTAGTGCTCAATCCAATTAAGTAAAAACACAGACAACCAAACCAATCTCCCAATCACTTCACTGTACATTTCATTTGTTGATTTGTGTTGATTATTGTTGAATAAATTGAACGTCCTGTACCGACAGTTCTCCTGTCAAGGATTACTTTCTTTACAAGTTGATTGTGTAATTTAACAGAGACTAATTAACACTCGGTCACAATCGGCGGTATATTTCCTCCAAAACGGTCCCGCACCCTTTGCCTTGAGGTTGCTCTGTGTGGTCTCTCGTCTGGGGAAAAGCCTTAGGTTGGGAAGATCGACTCTGCTAGTGCTTGGTTTGATCCCATCAACTCAGGGTAGGCCCGGGGATGCCCGCCACAGTAATATCATTCATTGCAATTACAGCTCTTAGTGAATCTTGTTTATAGAAATACTCATTGCGTAGAAGATGTTCATGAGGTATACATGTTTCCAGGTTTTGCATTGTTGAATTTGTATGCACAAGCTCATGGAGAAAACTTTGATTGTTGATCTACTGTTGCACTTTGAGGAAGGTATTGCTGCTTTGGAATAATGTTGCGATCAGTTCTTTTGCAATGTGCAGGTTGTGTATACTTTAATTTACAAGGTGTAACATTTGTGTAAAACTCAATTTGGATGTTCAATCGTAACTCAAGTTAATTCACATTCAGGTCGTGAGCATCTCTTGTAATGATTTGGCAAGCTTTGCAATAATTGTGTGTTGCATTATACCATTTGTCAAATGTTTTGAGCCATCCACCATTGATCATAGCAAGAGATGGCCACTTCACATCCGCGGAAGTCTTATAGGGAAAGGAAACCCACCGAGAAGATGGCTGCCTTGCAAGATGAACAACAAGTGAAGATAGAGCGCCGTTTTTTCAAGAATTACGGTGCCCTGAAAGCAACAGTGAAGGAAGCAAGGCAGGCTATCAAGACAGAAAGAGCAGAAGCTGAGATAAGACACGACACTTGGAGATGCTGGAAGCGGGTGAAGATGAACTGAAGCGACTTTTCGATGACCTAAGAAAGAACAAGGTACCTAGTAGAGAGGTGAGAGAAAGGATGGACAGAGCCAGTGCTATGGTCAGAGACAGTTCAAATGCACTGAAGGAGGTTTTGGGATCGATAGGAAGCCCCTTTGATGCAGATGACTGCAAGCAAATTGCCAGAGAACGTTTGAAACATGATTATGCAGGATCTGTATTCAGCTCTTCACTTGATGAGCTCTCTGAAGTAGGAACTAAGCAAATGCTTGAAACATCTGATGAACATTCTCCACCTGAGAAATTAGATGCTGGACTGAGCAAACCGTCTCAAGTGCCAGCCGAGTCGGTCCTGATTGATCATCCCAATCATCAGCAAGTGTCTCCCTTCATTGGGTCTCCCTCTGGTTCTGCTGACAATGACTCTGCAGCTGTAAAGGCCAATAAACAGGCCACCCCTCCAGACATCAGACCTTCCCCACCTGCTGATGAT